TTATTTCGTCCATCGTTAATACTATTCAAAAAGCTGTTATACAAAATTTTTCCCGCATATTTTAGCGAAAGAATTTTTTCAACAGCAAGAAGGAACAACAAAAATATCGGTAACAAAACAGCCTAATCGACAACCTCAATTATCACCCTTATCTTGTAATAGTAATGATAATTCGTTAAATGAATCATTACAAGACGAACGTTATATTCGACGTGATCTCAATCGTTCTTCTGGTTCAAATCAGATAAATAATCATGGCGACGAGTATATCATTAACAATACACATATTTTTGATAAAGAATTGAAACAAGAAAATAATCTATTAGTATTGAATGCGAAGTATGGCGACAAACTAATTTTGAAAGACAGTGATGAAAATAAAATAAATTATCATGTAAGTAATGTGACCTTTACGATACAGTCTTTTGTTCGATATTCTAAAGCATATGAAATAATGATACGCGTGTTTGGTCTTAATGAAGAAAATGTTAATTATATCATGATAAGCTGCACAAATTCTCGGTAATAATGCTCTACATCGACAAAATTACGCTCTAATACACAGAAAGCTTATTTTATGTTAAATTCTTTACATCATTAAACCTAATTACACGTATTGCTTTTATTCTAGCAACAAGAAAGTAGTATAAGATCATTTCAAAGTGCTACTCATACTCGCGATATACCAATTGAATTTATTGATGATCGTCATACGAAACTATCTTCAACAGTAGCTAATTTGGATACTTATCTGAAAAATCGATCTCCAATACAAAATAAACCAGTCGATTCATCGTTTACTCTAATTCCAGTTAATGTTGCATCACCCACACCACTGCCATTATCCGATACCGTAAAAACCAGTATTGATGCAGATGTTGAATATGCCATTATAGCTCGAAAACAAAAAATGAATAGTAATAATAATAGTAATAGTTTGTTGTTTGAATTAAATCATTATGACTTTCCAAAATCGGATACAAGTTTAAAACGGATAAGTGGCAGTGATTTTCCGGCATCATTTCCGGCTGATGCTATTGAGATGAAGCATCAACGTGAAATGGAAAAGCAAGAGGGATTGACGGCAACTGCTGATGATCGACATGATTCAACAGTACACGATAGTGAAGAACCACCAAAATTACTGCCATCAGATAAGATCATATCTTCATTGTTACCATCAAATGTTTTCAAACGAATGGATCATTTGAATACAATATTTATTAGACCAACAACTATCAATAAGGATTTCTATTCTAATAACCGAAATGATAGTCCCATTACATATGGAGATAAAGAAATACAAAAAACAGAACCAGTAAAAATTGAACAAAACAATATCCGAGAAGATAATGAGGATATGCGTTTGAATATTTATAATAAAGCTATTAGCGAGAGTGAAGAAGACGACGGTGATAATAATCGATGGATTAATAATCCAATGTTAAATGGTACATTCTGAAATTATTGCTTCTCATACAGTCTATGTAGGATATTTTCTTATTTACAGATGTTCATTTTCAACATGATGAGTCATCTTTGTCACCTGTTTATTATGAAATATCAGGATTATCTGAAATACCAGATGATGAACATTTATATCCAACTATATTTCCGAAAAAAGCAAAACGTGTAAAGTTTAGTGTAGCACCAATTCGAGTAAGCAATTCTATAGTTTTTTAATTGAACTTTTTTTTCTTTTCTTTTTATCTCTTAGGTGTATCCAACTTATTCAGCCAATGAATACGATCGACGAAATAATGAGATTGATCCATTTTCAGCATCAGCTGAGTACGAACTCGAAAAACGAATTGAAAAAATGAATGTCTTTAGTGTTGATATTGAAAAAGGTAGGAAAATTTATTATCTTTATCGAATAAAATTATTAATAATGTATTTCTCTACTAATCTAGGACCCGACGGTTTGGGCATTAGGTATAATAACGAATTATTGGCTCTTATTTATAACTAAAAGTTGTTGTGTTTTAAACTAGTGTTTTGGGCATGGGCGTTGGCGCCGATTCTGGTCTAGAAAAGTTGGGCATATTTGTTAAATCTCTGAATCCAAATGGTGTCATTGCGCTTGACGGAAGGTAAAACAGACGACGTTTAAATCACATATTCTTAATTAATTTAATTTTTTTTCTGTTTAGGATTAAAGTTGGAGATCAAATAATCGAAGTGGATAATCACAGTTTGGTTGGTGTCACACATACATTTGCAACCGGAATTTTGAAAGCCACAGCAGGCACTGTCAGGTAGAGCTCACTATTTTTGTTTTAATCAGTTCAACACATGTTCATTGTGTTCTTTTCGATGACATTTTAGATTTTTAATTGGCCGAGAAAAAGATCCGGAGAATTCTGAAGTATTGCGGTTGATTCATCAATCATTACAAATGGATCATGAAAGAAATGAATTACAGCGAGTTTTACATCAACACGAACACTACAATCATTCACCACTGGATTATGGTGTTGATGACTTTCCAAATACTGAACTGAATGACGATATTGTACAGGATGAAGATTTGCCTCATGTAACGCTATCTAATCTATATTAAAATTTGATATTTTGCATTGCGTATTCATTAGGATGTCGTACCACCACCACCACCACCACAACAACAACAACAAAAAGAGTTCAGAAAACAGAGCGAAATGACAGATAATCAGTCGGATATGGAAGCAATACGAAATAAAAATAAAAATTATGAGGTGAGAGAAGTTCGAACCTTCAAAATTGGAAAAGACGATTTATTTATTTATTTTATACTATTTAGCCAATATGGGACATACCAAATAATAAACAAAATGCGTCTTCCGATCATCAATCTCCCTATTTACTAACAATAGTAGGTTTTTTCTTTGACATGACCAATATGTCAACATCTATGTCTACTTTATTTCAAATAGCCTGTATCACCATCATCACAGACTCAAGAACATTCAAAAAACAACGAGCAATTGTTAAATTTAAAAACATGCATTGAAACACTGCAATCAACGCTTGACGATGTGGAAAAAGAAAAAAACTATTATCAAGTAAATAACATAATCTGGCAAACAGAGTCGATTGTAAAACGATTGTTTTGTTAAGCAATTGCACCACGAAACTGTTGACCAATTAGAACATGTCGAAGAAAAATACATGAAAGCCAAAAAGCTTATTAAAGAATATCAGGAGAGGTGAGTATTTTCTTTGTAATGGACATTAGAAGCATTAAGACGATAATCTTGAGACTAAATGAACTACGTCGCTGTTTTTAATCGATACTCTCTTAAATATAATAATGTACAATTGCTTATTCATACAATATTCGCTTTTTCATTATAGAGAAACTGAACTAAATAATCAACAATCACAGTACATGGAAGCAATTGAACAGCAACGAAAACGTATTGGTGAACTAACAAAAAAAGTATGAGAGAATTTACTATTCGCCATTTTCAATTGTTTATATAATGTATTTGTGTCGATGTTTCAGATTGAAGAATTAGAAAAGTTAATGTTGTCTTCAGCATCAACAAATATGAATGGATTTTCTTCAATGAAAGAAATTAGACAAGATTCATTGACAAAAAAATTATCATATATTGCTGATGAAAAACCAGAAGTACCGGAACGAATTCCATTATTTGGCCGATCTCGAACATCCTCGGATCAAATACCTGAACGTCCTCCCAGTCGAACAACTGCATCACCCGTTGAGAACAAATCTGTACGCTCGAATCCATCACCAGTAACCTTGTCATCATTAGATAAAAATTCTCTTAAAAATGACGATAATCAATGGACTATGCGTTCAAACTGTAAGTGAACTATAAAACCAATACAGTTATATCTTTTATACATTTGGCTTTCTAATTTAGCTTATAATAAACAAAATTCAAAAGCATTAACAAACCTTGATTTCGAAGTTGGCCGAAGTCCGTTGTTAAATAACAGTATTCAAATGACAAAAAGTCAGATAGCAAAAAATCGTCCAAAAAATCCGCCGTCAAAACGTTTATCAAATCAAATGAATATAGAAAACATTCATGCCAATGACGAATATGAGCAAGAGTACGTCAGAGATATATAAAATAACATAAAATAAGTTAATATTTCGTTTTAGAATTCAAAATGGACTTACTCAAAATAATAGCAATTTAAAATTCAATGTTTTATCAGCACTTGTTGCTGAACCACCGTCAACGATTTCAAATGCTTTGAAACAACATTCAACTGAATTAACAAGTAAATTAAATAAATAAAACTTTTATCAATGATATTTTTAAGTTTATTGTTAATCTAGCATCACTCACTAGCGGCAAAAATAACGACAACAATTCGAATTATACAGTATGGATTAAAAAATATTCATTTTATATTTTACTTAAAAAACTGATATTTGTATTACATTCTAGCATGTTGCTATTGATAAACAATCATTAAACTTTGATCAACCTGTCAAGGATTGGACATCAGATCAATGTATTCAATGGTTGTCATCTGTTGATATGAATACTTTTATTCCATTATTTTTAAATCGAAATATTGATGGAGAAAAATTACTCACATTAGATAGTACAAAATTGAAGGTAGGATTGATCATTTGTGGATAATCGAGTATTTTCTTTTTCTCTTGTTATAAACTAGGCCATTGGTATCAAATCAAGTAAAGAACGTGATCTATTAAAACAAAAATTGAAAGAATTAAAATACAATGATATATTTAAACAACCATCAGTAGCTTATCCTGTTTCTCATCATTATAATCAAAATCGAATGCGATCATCAAGTTTAACAAAATTAAAAGAGAGAAGACTTTTTGGTGCTAGTGGAGGGAAATAAATTACAATTTCAGGAACACTTTTGTTTTTCATTAGTGAGCCAAAATTATACAAATGCATCGAGACACATATTATTCGTATTCCGTCCTGTTTGACCATTTTGTCTGCTTTTCGAACAGTAAAAAATTATCGTCATCATCATCCTTTTCTCTTCTAATAGAGAAATAAAGCTGCTGGCAGCATTTTTCCTTCTCTGATCTCAACTCATACACATGTCTACACATTCCTTTGTTTTATAATGTACATATATATTACTTTTTTTGTTAGGGAATTTTTTGCTCTTTATGCTGTTTTTGTATACATATCTCGAGCTACAGATCTGTTTTGTTTTGAATTTAATCAAAAAACAACAACATGTGTATCAATTTTTTTAATATTTGACGACATACGATTCTCATTTCGCGAAACTTCTCTCTTGCCTTACTGATTTTTTGTTTTCATCGTTTTTTTTTGGACTATTTATTTATTTTACAACTATTTTCATTTGTGCAAATTATTTTTTTTGCTCTTTTAATAACATGTGTGCTACTATTAGAATTTATCTTTTTTTATTTGTGCATTACGGTCTATAGAATAGTTATTACTAATATCGTTCGACAACTACAACTAAACTAAAACATTGTAGATAAGAATTATTTTCCTTCTATATTTGTGATTTTATTCTGCTCTAGGAATTTGTGAACGATATTTTTTTTCTTCTTCTCTTAACGATCCTAACATTTTATTAACGAAACGTTTTCGATCGTTTGCTTTACTTATTGTGTTTTCGTCTTGAAAACTTTTTTGTCTTTTTTCTAAAAATGTTTTTGTTATACTTACAGAAAAGTTTAAAGTTATAAAATGGTGCTATTTCGTAATTAAAAATATTTTACTGCTTTACTTTGACTAATGTATATGTCATGAAAAATGGATGAACTAGAAGAAAAATATTAATATTACAGAGGGGGAAGTTAGCTATAAGATCGACCAATTATTAAAGACGAAATTAAATCGATTGTGAACGTTTGAGACTTTATTTTTCATTACAATAAGATTTTGATATTTTTCATATATGCGTTGCACAGCCATTATTTGAGAGAAAAATAAAACCAAAATTCACAACGTTTTTGATAATTCCTACTGTCGGAGCCACAATACAAGAGCAGTGGCTATTTTTTGAATAACTTAGCATCAAATAAAGATACAGGCTTACGATTTTCACCATTCGATAGCCAAAACTTGAGGCGAGCTTTCTACAAGCAAAATCGATTTTTGAAAAACTTTTCGAAGCCGGATTTCCAATGGATCTTTGAAAAACCAGCTTGGATTTTTCGGAATTCAAATAGGAATCTATTGATTTTTTTGGGAACATTTATAGTCCGAAGTATCCTCTGCAAAATCGAGTCCAAGCGACACCTTGAAAATCCACGATTCGGGAGCTATGGATATTTTTCCTGAAGCCTTAGCACTTCTCTGCCATTAGGTTTGGGACTGTCAAAAATGAATGAAAACATAGATTATCGACTATGGTGAATCTCGTGGCAGTGTTAGTTTTTAGAACAAAATGCAAGTACCGAGTGAAAACCTATACTAGGTGAAATAACCCATTTTTGATTATTTTCATTAAAAATTAAATAATTCGTAATTCAGTCAAAATCCATCCAACCTACTTCGGAATGTCAGCAAATACTCTATTTTATCTGCAGCATACCGTAAAGCTCAATAGATGTTGAAAAAATCAACAGAAAATACTTTAGTTTCTAGAAACGTTTCCTAGAAATCTTCGCAACTAAAAGAATATTTTTATTGAATTTACGTACAGAATTAGAATGAGCGGCTAAAATAGAGTATCGTGGAACTACGGCAGAGGAGTGCTAAGGCTTCAGGAAAAATATCCATAGCTCCCGAATCGTGGATTTTCAAGGTGTCGCTTGGACTCGATTTTGCAGAGGATACTTCGGACTATAAATGTTCCCAAAAAAATCAATAGATTCCTATTCGAATTTCGAAAAATCCAAGCTGGTTTTTCAAAGATCCATTGGAAATTCGGCTTCGAAAAGTTTTTCAAAAATCGATTTTGCTTGTAGAAACATCGCCTCAAGTCTTGGCTATCGAATGGTGAAAATCGCAAGCTGTATCTTTATTTGATACTGAGTATTCAAAAAATAGCCACTGCTCTTGTATTGTGGCTCCGACAGTAGTGAGCAGGTATCCCTTATTTTTTCAATGGGATGAATGTATTATTTTCCTACAAATCCTTGTAGCTCAACGGCGGTACGTTAACAAAAAAAATGTCCTTCTCTTTTAGCATGAAATGCAAAAACCAAGAGAAAAATACACGAGCAATGCAAATGACACATAGGAGGGAAAAACTGAATATATTTAATATATGCCGTGTACCTTCAAAGTTTATGTATAAATATAACAATAAGTAAAAACTATCTAAAAGAGATAAACAGTTTGTGTGTATATGATTATGAATTATCACTCAAAGGCTAATGCGTTTCTACCTGATCCCACCATTTTTTGTGACAGACGCTCGGCATTCAGACGCATTCTTTCCGTAGTTACCAGGTGTTCTAATTTCGGTGATAGTTTGCTTTCGCATAGTTTTATAGTGATATTTTGTGTGAAATTTACTACAATGAAGAATTTTTGTTTATTTTTGATATTTTGTTTATAAAAAATAAGTTGTTTCAAAAAATCGATTTATTTTAATTTATAAAGGTCCCATTTCTGAAATTTTGAGTTGAAAACTCTGATCTTTTCCAGTCCTGCAAGGATACGTCTCAGAGAAAAACTTAGTTTAACACTGGAGACTATGCGACAAAACTCTTGCGTCTGCGTTTTGTTCTAATCAAAGAATTTAACATGACTTGATCTTCAGTTTTGTTTACTTACCAAAGATACAATAAAATAAATAATAATTCATATACAAGTTCTTCTTTAGATCTCTAGTAGATCAATAATAATAATAATGAATGGATGTTAGTGTCACAGTTCATTTTCAGAACATTTCATAATAAATGTGTCTCACCGTTAGTGGAGAAAAATATGACAGACGGTCTAAACTACAAACAAAGAATTTACTGCAAGTGAAGGGGAAATAACGAAGGCAGTTAAAATGAGATATTGAACTTTCGTAAGATGGGGTCAAACACGTCGTCGAGCATTTTTTATTTTCTTCAGTGTGTAATTACTATTAGTTCTGTTTTGTGACGTGGCTTATGAATCATATTATGACTATTTAACTATGTATACACAACACAAATTAAATTTTTTAGATAGTACTTTTACAAATTTTTCTATTTATTTTCTCAAACGGTAAGATGAATTTTGAAAAAAATCGATCTCGAAACGACGATAGTAGTAATAATACTCAAGATGGTACAACACATTCTCGTCGACCAAATTATTCTTACATAGAAGAACGAAACGATGCTCGAACGGGTTCACTCAATAATAAAGTAACAAAATTAAAAGAATTAGCAATACAAATTGGTGATGAAACACGAGCACAAAATAAATATTTGAAAGAATTACATGATGATTTTAATCAGACAGAAAGTTTTGTTGAGTCAGCTAGAAAACGTGTTTTATTATTAGCTAAATCAGGTAATTGGAAAATTTATTTATATTTATTATTATTTTCATTTTTTGTCTTTCTTGTTATCTATTGGCTTATACGCTAGTTTTATGTCTGTTTCCTGAAATATATCTGAATGTTTTTGTTATGTTTAATTCTCGTTAAAAACTATTGTTTCTTCTCAAAGTCAAAAAGTTTAATTTATATAATAAAAGGTTAGTGAATTTAGAGAAAAGTTGTTATCAACTATATTTTAGTACTATATAATTTATGATCTTCAAATTTCAGTGTACTGTTTAAAATACAAGATCATTAACCTATATATCAACTTTAGCGGCATTAAGTATGTTTTTAATTTACAGAAACGTATTACAAATAAAAACATGAATTGAAGAAGAAGCGTACTTGATTTATAAGAGATTATACTTATATGATTACAAGAATGAATGTCCATGAACATCTTATTTATGAAAATTTTGGTGGTGAAACATTTTTGGAAAATTCACCAACAAAGTTACCAGCTGGAAAATAGGCGGCTACGCCGTACCACATATTACCATCAGTTGCTCGACCAAATCCGACTTCTTTTGTACCATTCCAGACTAATTGTGTAAAATGTCCTGTCCCATATTGATAGTCACCATTATAATTATATTTTTCTTGTTCTGAATACCATGCTTCAGACATATCTTTACCCGTCATTGGCCATGATTGTGATCTCAGATTTTCTCCAACATTTTTATTTTGATATTTTGTTTTACTGTGAACTAATCCTCGAATATTTGCCAAATGTTCAGCTATGGAAATAAATGAAAAAATATGTTAGAAATAATCTATGGTTAATATTTGCAAAGTTTTACCCCACTGTTGAGCAAGTTTTGATAAATCGTGATTTAATGTAAGCGACGCTGCTCCGTGTTTACGTCTTAAATCATTATGTATTTGTAATGATTCTTTTGTGAATTTATCAATGTCTTGAGCAATTGGTTGACTTTTCTTTTGATGATGATTGCTTTTCTAAAATTAAAGATAGTGTGTTTCGTTAACATTATCTGTACAAATTGGCAAAAATTTCAATAAACATAATAAAGTAACAGCAGTAATTTTTAAAATTTGAAAAT